GGTTTCGTGCTGGTTTTATGTTGGTTTAGCTGGTTTTCACTGGTTTTGTTCTGAATTTTGCTGGTTTAGCTGATTTTTACCTGACTTGGAAGGAGGATTACTTGAAATCGAAACTAGGAAAATTTGCGGTGGAGGGATACTTGATATGTTATTTGGAGAGCGCGATATGGTAATACTGGGCAGTATCTTGAGTTACCCGATAAGGGGATAGAGAGTGCGGTAGGGGGATTGTTGTATTTTGAATGGTAGGGGGAGTGTCTCTCCAAACAGATATGGAAGATAGAAAATTTCCTACAAAAGCTGAGAATAATAAAGTATTGATCACTCTGTATCTTTACACAGTGGTGGAATTGTTCTCGTTTACCAGCTTTCGGGAAAAATTTCCTACAAGAGCCGGGAATAACAGAATATTGATCAGTGGCTTATTTTGGTTGAGTCAAATTACAGTGGGTAAAATTGTTGTCTATTACTGGCTCTCGTAAAGGATTTTCTACCTTAAGAGCCAGAGATAATGAAATATTGATCACCTCGTATCTTTACACAGTGGTGGAATTGTTCTCGTTTACCAGCTTTCGTGGAAAATTTCCTACAAGAGCCGGGAATAACAAAATATTGATCAGTGGCTTATTTTGGTTGAGTCAAATTACAGTGGGTAAAATTGTTGTCTAATACTGGCTCTCCTAAAAGATTTTCTACCTTAAGAGCCAGACATAATGAAATATTGATCACCTCGTATCTTTACACAGTGGGGGAATTGTTCTCGTTTACCAGCTTTCGTGGAAAATTTCCTATAAGAGCCGGGAATAACAAAATATTGATCAGTGGCTTATTTTGGTTGAGTCAAATTACAGTGGGTAAAATTGTTGTCTAATACTGGCTCTCGTAAAAGATTTTCTACCTTAAGAGCCAGACATAATGAAATATTGATCACCCCGTATCTTTACACAGTGGTGGAATTGTTCTCGTTTACCAGCTTTCGTGGAAAATTTCCTACAAGAGCCGGGAATAACAAAATATTGATCAGTGGCTTATTTTGGTTGAGTCAAATTACAGTGGGTAAAATTGTTGTCTAATACTGGCTCTCGTAAAAGATTTTCTACCTTAAGAGCCAGACATAATGAAATATTGATCACCTCGTATCTTTACACAGTGGGGGAATTGTTCTCGTTTACCAGCTTTCGGGAAAAATTTCCTGCAAGAGCCGGGAATAACAGAATATTGATCAGTGGCTTATTTTGGTTGAGTCAAATTACAGTGGGTAAAATTGTTGTCTATTACTAGCTCTCGTAAAGGATTTTCTACCTTAAGAGCCAGACATAATGAAATATTGATCACCTCGTATCTTTACACAGTGGTGGAATTGTTCTCGTTTACCAGCTTTCGTGGAAAATTTCCTACAAGAGCCTGGAATAACAAAATATTGATCAGTGGCTTATTTTGGTTGAGTCAAATTACAGTGGGTAAAATTGTTGTCTATTACTGGTCTCGTGAAAGATTTTCTATCTTAAGAACCAGACATAATGAAATATTGATCACCTCGTATCTTTACACAGTGGTGGAATTGTTCTCGTTTACCAGCTTTCGTGGAAAATTTCCTACAAGAGCCGGGAATAACAAAATATTGATCAGTGGCTTATTTTGGATGAGTCAAATTACAGTGGGTAAAATTGTTGTCTATTACTGGCACTCGTAAAGGATTTTCTACCTTAAGAGCCAGATATGATGAAATATTGATCACCTCGTATCTTTACACAGTGGTGGAATTGTTCTCGTTTACCAGCTTCCGTGGAAAATTTCCTACAAGAGCCGGGAATAACAAAATATTGATCAGTGGCTTATTTTGGTTGAGTCAAATTACAGTGGGTAAAATTGTTGTCTATTACTGGCTCTCGTAAAGGATTTTCTACCTTAAGAGCCAGATATGATGAAATATTGATCACCTCGTATCTTTACACAGTGGTGGAATTGTTCTCGTTTACCAGCTTCCGTGGAAAATTTCCTACAAGAGCCGGGAATAACAAAATATTGATCAGTGGCTTATTTTGGTTGAGTCAAATTACAGTGGGTAAAATTGTTGTCTATTACCGGCTCACGTGAAAGATTTTCTATATCAAGATCTGGGAATTAATGAAATATTGATCACCCCGTATTTCTACACAGTAATAAAGTATGTTTTTTCTTTAAAGATAAAAGTCAAAATGACATTATGTTGGCAATACAATGTAAAATTGTCAATGCTTTCAAATTTTTTTATGTAAAAAAGGCTTGTGTTGCCAACATAGTTACTAAATTTTGGACTTGGGGAATTAAAACAGACTTTAGAATTTCCTACAAGAGCCGGGAATAATAAAATAATGATCACTCTGTTTTGGTGGAATTATCATTGACTGAAGGGAAAGGGGTTTTGACAGTCTCAAGATTTTCAGGCATTATGAATTGAAGTTTCCGAGACATAATAAACCATAAGTGGATCCAGAGCTCACTCGGTCATAAAATTAAGAATGTTTTCTCTGGAAAAATACCCCTAAAGTGACTAGAAACTATAACCTAAGACTCAGCAAACGAATCTAGAGACAAGAATTTCTCATAGAAGCTCTGGACAACCAAATAATCAGAATTACTGAATAATTCTCCAACCAATCAAGAGCCAGTAATAATGACACCTTGAACATATCAATAAGTCTATTCCCATGGCAAAAATATCACGATAATTTCTATCTTATCTCATACACTAATCATTTCCGGACAAATATATACATCAAACTTTCCCACTCGGAATTAATTAACGCAAATACAAGATTAGATACAACATATTTTTAGGGGACTATTGTTTCTATTTATGAATGAAACACATCATTGATAAGGCGTATTTTTTTTGGGTCTAATTACTTGATTGTGTAATTAGTTTTTTTTTGTGGGAAATTACCTATAATGACCAGCATGATGGGTATTTTCAATATATATAACGATCATGGTAATTTCCTTTTAAGTTTTTTGTTTCCCTATTAACATGAGCTTTTTTTTAAGGTTTCTAAGTAAAACACAAATCCCCTATAATCTGCGCCACTGTGTTTCGAAATCCAATTAACTAGTTGCTCGATATTGATTAAGTTTGTGTGTTAATTTCAGGAAATAACAAATTTTTAATTCGTAAATCCCCCGGACGCTTCGACGCCGCTGGCTTCCTTGAATGCACGCCGCCTCCGCTCCCCCGTCCCGCGCCGCCTCCTCCCCACGGGTTTCCATTCATTCATGATGGCGGCCCCATTCATAAAAACCGCCTCGGCTCGTCGGCCGTACGCGCGACGTTGCCGCGCTTACGTTTCCGTTCGTCAGGAAACTTTATTGATCCTCTCTTTTATGCGATTCAAAGATTTTCTACGGGGAGTTGGTTCTGAGTTCTGATACCATTAATTTAAGTTATTTTCAACTCAGAAATTATAAGTTTTATAGTGATGTCCAGTCATTATTCCCTTGTAGTTTCTGATAACCAACCTAGAAACTTCTTATACCTAACTTTTTCTAAATTTTTATTTCATATTGTGTAACGAAGTTACTATTTTGTAACGAAGTTCCACAATCCAATCTATGAGCATCCTAATGAAAATTTTGATAGTTATCATTTGTATAATCAATCACGTGATAAAATATCCATATATACTCGCGAAATAGATATTGGAACGCAAGGTTTGAATAATATTCAATTAAAAAATCATAGTTTTGGCAACGTTGTTCGGCACGTTGCCCTCGCGAACAAACCGATCGCGCCCGAACAAGTCTCAGTTCTCGTCGCAACGTCGCCGCATTAACACAGGTACTGCACGAGTTTGGTGGTACCCACTTTTTACTACAACCCGAGAGTTCGTACCAAGTTTTTTAAAAACTAGTGATTTTTTTTTTTTAAATGAAAAACAGTGGTTCGAGTGAAAAAGTGTTTTTATTAAACCATAAGGATTAAATCGAGGATATTTTGGATTTTGAAGGAACCTGCACAACAGATTGGCGAATGACATTGAGGTGCGTGTGGGTGTGTTTTCCCATTCACAATTTTATTTTCAGATGACGTATTTGCGTGTGTAAAACCAGCGGCGCCCGTTTTTCATTCATCGATTCGTTTGTTCAATGAAAACCCCAGGGAAATTCTTCCAAAATAAATAATTTCATTGGAGTCGATATAATGAAATGTTATTTGACCTTTTTTTCAAGAGATAAACCGAGCTAAAAATAATTTTTAAACTCAACTTGGCGGATTTGGTTTTGAATAATTGATAATTATTTAAATTCGATTTTTATTTTTGACGCGTGTTTTATGGATATTTTCCCATTTTCAATTGAATTTATGAACAATTTCAATGGAAATTATACAGTTTTAGGTTGATTAGATGATGAATGACTTTCAATTCCTTTGAACTATTTGGGATTTCTTCTCATACTTCTTAGGATTTTGTCCAAATTTCCCCATAGTTTCAAATTCAAATAAGTATCTTTTTTCATGTGAACTGCATCAGGCTTTTGAGACACAAGGCCTCGTTTTCAAGCAAAATGGATGTTCAAGTACCATACTTTTGGTGCAAGTATTTATCGTACTTGAACATCAAGTATGTGTTAAAATATCAAGTATGATACTTACCTAAGTAAAGTATTTTCAGGTGAAAATTCCTTAATAATTCAGTTTGAGAACAAATTTCCTAAACTTTTCAGGCGTGAAAACCTGCCCTTAGACTTTCCACAAAACCTACTCTTAGGGCCGGTATTTCAATGTTACCTTGAAATCAAGACTTATCTAAGGTTGTCAAGGGGTAAAACACCATCCCATTGGCATGAAGAATCTTGGAAATCAACCTCCAATAACTGAATTAATTGAAAATACAGTCTCACACATTTCAAATATTTCCTGGCAAACTGGTGAAGGGAAAATTTTGAAACTTTTTGCATGTTAAGAGGAAGGTGAGAAGCTTATTTTCCCAAAATTTCAAATTTTTCCAGTGAAAAATAACAACATGAAGAATATTGGAAATCAACCTATAATAACTGATTTAGTTGAAAATACAGTCTCACACATTTCAAAGTTTTCCTGGAAAACTAGTGAAGGGAAAATTTTGGAACTTTTTGCATGTAAAGAGGAAAGTGAGAAGCTCATTTTCCTAAAATTTCAAATTTTTCCAGTGGAAAACAGCAACATGAAAAATCTCGGAAATCAACCTACAAAAACTGAATTAGTTGAAAATACAGTCTCACACATTTCAAAGTTTTCCTGGAAAACTAGTGAAGGGAAAATTTTGACACTTTTTGCATGTAAAGGGGAAAGTGAGAAGCTTATTTTCTCAAAATTTCAAATTTCTCCAGTGAAAAATAACAACATGAAGAATATTGGAAATCAAGCTACAATAACTAATTTAGTTGAAAATACAGTCTCACACATTTCAAAGTTTTCCTGGAAAACTAGTGAAGGGAAAATTTTGGAACTTTTTGCATGTAAAGAGGAAAGTGAGAAGCTCATTTTCCTAAAATTTCAAATTTTTCCAGTGGAAAACAGCAACATGAAAAATCTCGGAAATCAACCTACAAAAACTGAATTAGTTGAAAATACAGTCTCACACATTTCAAAGTTTTCCTGGAAAACTAGTGAAGGGAAAATTTTGACACTTTTTGCATGTAAAGGGGAAGGTGAGAAGCTTATTTTCCCAAAATTTCAAATTTCTCCAGTGAAAAATAACAACATGAAGAATATTGGAAATCAACCTACAATAACTAATTTAGTTGAAAATACAGTCTCACACATTTCAAAGTTTTCCTGGAAAACTAGTGAAGGGAAAATTTTGGAACTTTTTGCATGTAAAGAGGAAAGTGAGAAGCTCATTTTCCTAAAATTTCAAATTTTTCCAGTGGAAAACAGCAACATGAAAAATCTCGGAAATCAACCTACAAAAACTGAATTAGTTGAAAATACAGTCTCACACATTTCAAAGTTTTCCTGGAAAACTAGTGAAGGGAAAATTTTGACACTTTTTGCATGTAAAGGGGAAGGTGAGGAGCTTATTTTCCCAAAATTTCAAATTTCTCCAGTGAAAAATAACAACATGAAGAATATTGGAAATCAAGCTACAATAACTAATTTAGTTGAAAATACAGTCTCACACATTTCAAAGTTTTCCTGGAAAACTAGTGAAGGGAAAATTTTGGAACTTTTTGCATGTAAAGAGGAAAGTGAGAAGCTCATTTTCCTAAAATTTCAAATTTTTCCAGTGGAAAACAGCAACATGAAAAATCTCGGAAATCAACCTACAAAAACTGAATTAGTTGAAAATACAGTCTCACACATTTCAAAGTTTTCCTGGAAAACTAGTGAAGGGAAAATTTTGACACTTTTTGCATGTAAAGGGGAAGGTGAGAAGCTTATTTTCCCAAAATTTCAAATTTCTCCAGTGAAAAATAACAACATGAAGAATATTGGAAATCAGGCTACAATAACTAATTTAGTTGAAAATACAGTCTCACACATTTCAAAGTTTTCCTGGAAAACTAGTGAAGGGAAAATTTTGGAACTTTTTGCATGTAAAGAGGAAAGTGAGAAGCTCATTTTCCTAAAATTTCAAATTTTTCCAGTGGAAAACAGCAACATGAAAAATCTCGGAAATCAACCTACAAAAACTGAATTAGTTGAAAATACAGTCTCACACATTTCAAAGTTTTCCTGGAAAACTAGTGAAGGGAAAATTTTGACACTTTTTGCATGTAAAGGGGAAGGTGAGAAGCTTATTTTCCCAAAATTTCAAATTTCTCCAGTGAAAAATAACAACATGAAGAATATTGGAAATCAGGCTACAATAACTAATTTAGTTGAAAATACAGTCTCACACATTTCAAAGTTTTCCTGGAAAACTAGTGAAGGGAAAATTTTGGAACTTTTTGCATGTAAAGAGGAAAGTGAGAAGCTCATTTTCCTAAAATTTCAAATTTTTCCAGTGGAAAACAGCAACATGAAAAATCTCGGAAATCAACCTACAAAAACTGAATTAGTTGAAAATACAGTCTCACACATTTCAAAGTTTTCCTGGAAAACTAGTGAAGGGAAAATTTTGACACTTTTTGCATGTAAAGGGGAAGGTGAGGAGCTTATTTTCCCAAAATTTCAAATTTCTCCAGTGAAAAATAACAACATGAAGAATATTGGAAATCAAGCTACAATAACTAATTTAGTTGAAAATACAGTCTCACACATTTCAAAGTTTTCCTGGAAAACTAGTGAAGGGAAAATTTTGGAACTTTTTGCATGTAAAGAGGAAAGTGAGAAGCTCATTTTCCTAAAATTTCAAATTTTTCCAGTGGAAAACAGCAACATGAAAAATCTCGGAAATCAACCTACAAAAACTGAATTAGTTGAAAATACAGTCTCACACATTTCAAAGTTTTCCTGGAAAACTAGTGAAGGGAAAATTTTGACACTTTTTGCATGTAAAGGGGAAGGTGAGGAGCTTATTTTCCCAAAATTTCAAATTTCTCCAGTGAAAAATAACAACATGAAGAATATTGGAAATCAAGCTACAATAACTAATTTAGTTGAAAATACAGTCTCACACATTTCAAAGTTTTCCTGGAAAACTAGTGAAGGGAAAATTTTGGAACTTTTTGCATGTAAAGAGGAAAGTGAGAAGCTCATTTTCCTAAAATTTCAAATTTTTCCAGTGGAAAATAGCAACATGAAAAATCTCGGAAATCAACCTACAAAAACTGAATTAGTTGAAAATACAGTCTCACACATTTCAAAGTTTTCCTGGAAAACTAGTGAAGGGAAAATTTTGACACTTTTTGCATGTAAAGGGGAAGGTGAGGAGCTTATTTTCCCAAAATTTCAAATTTCTCCAGTGAAAAATAACAACATGAAGAATATTGGAAATCAAGCTACAATAACTAATTTAGTTGAAAATACAGTCTCACACATTTCAAAGTTTTCCTGGAAAACTAGTGAAGGGAAAATTTTGGAACTTTTTGCATGTAAAGAGGAAAGTGAGAAGCTCATTTTCCTAAAATTTCAAATTTTTCCAGTGGAAAACAGCAACATGAAAAATCTCGGAAATCAACCTACAAAAACTGAATTAGTTGAAAATACAGTCTCACACATTTCAAAGTTTTCCTGGAAAACTAGTGAAGGGAAAATTTTGACACTTTTTGCATGTAAAGGGGAAGGTGAGGAGCTTATTTTCCCAAAATTTCAAATTTCTCCAGTGAAAAATAACAACATGAAGAATATTGGAAATCAAGCTACAATAACTAATTTAGTTGAAAATACAGTCTCACACATTTCAAAGTTTTCCTGGAAAACTAGTGAAGGGAAAATTTTGGAACTTTTTGCATGTAAAGAGGAAAGTGAGAAGCTCATTTTCCTAAAATTTCAAATTTTTCCAGTGGAAAACAGCAACATGAAAAATCTCGGAAATCAACCTACAAAAACTGAATTAGTTGAAAATACAGTCTCACACATTTCAAAGTTTTCCTGGAAAACTAGTGAAGGGAAAATTTTGACACTTTTTGCATCTAAAGGAGAAGGTGAGAAGCTTATTTTCCCAAAATTTCAAATTTCTCCAGTGAAAAATAACAACATGAAGAATATTGGAAATCAAGCTACAATAACTAATTTAGTTGAAAATACAGTCTCACACATTTCAAAGTTTTCCTGGAAAACTAGTGAAGGGAAAATTTTGGAACTTTTTGCATGTAAAGAGGAAAGTGAGAAGCTCATTTTCCTAAAATTTCAAATTTTTCCAGTGGAAAACAGCAACATGAAAAATCTCGGAAATCAACCTACAAAAACTGAATTAGTTGAAAATACAGTCTCACACATTTCAAAGTTTTCCTGGAAAACTAGTGAATGTTACTTAACCAAATTAGTAACATAACGTGACAAGTTATTCAAGTACAAATGAGTGAATTGTTGCGGAACCTATGGGTGGACCTCTGCGGGACGAGCGCAGCGAGTTCCGCAGCCATCTATTCATCAATATGTTGTTTAATTACGATACTAAGCTGACTCACTCAAATGGGAGTTATTCTCATTAGTTTGAAAACCTCATGTTTCAGGTGAATGTCTTACTTGAATAGTTCAACAGTATATTGGTGAGTAGATGGCTGCGGAACTCGCTGCGCTCGTCCCGCAGAGGTCGACCCATAAGTTCCGCAATAATCCACTTTTGTACATGAAGTGAAATTTTGGGAGAATTTCTTTAATGAAAATGAATGTTCAACGTTCAACACAAAATTAGATTTTTTTTAAAATTTCCATTCATTAGTGTTTCTAATAATAAGAATATGAACCTCAGTGACGTCATGACTTTACAATTTCCTTTAAATTTCTGACAAATTCCTTAAAATTCCCCATAAATTTCTCCGAATTCCCTATAAATTCCCCACATTTTTGGCAAATAATTCCTAGGTAGTTTGCCCCTTGAAGGTTGTTATGTATATCTGCTATGTTTTATCTTCTAGTCATATTTAATATTTCCCTGTAATAATCCTTAAGGTTTGTTGGGAAATAGAGAAAGGTACCCTTAATGTTAATTTTGTCAAAGTAATGGTTGCCTCTATTACTTAGGGTTTTCCGAGGAGCCATTTTTCCGAGGAGCCGTTTTTCCGAGAAGCTGTTTTTCCAAGGAGCCGTTTCTCTCAACAAATCAATTTCCAAAAACCCACATTTTTAAAAAACCACCATTTTCGTAGAGCGTGGCATAGAGCTTTTTAAGGGATTCCTAGAGGAATCAAGTCCCTCACGTATTGACTCTTGTACCTCCACATTAGGACTCTGTAATGAATAGAGACATTTTCTCTATCTCTATTGACGTCTTCTCTCAATCGATTTCGACAAGAGAGAAAAAGACAGCAAGTACCATAGCGATAGGGATAACAATTTCTATTCGTTACACATTACAGAATTCTAGCCCAGCAGGTGGCTTAAGATTTACCTTATTTAAGGGAACATTGACATACAGTAAAACTTGTACTAATTCGCAGCGTTGCCAGTAACTTGAAAATAAAAGAAAAAAAGCACTGATCCGGGGAAAAAAAAAAATTGAGTTAGTAACAATGAAATTTCTAAACGTCAAAAGTCTATTCATTAGCTGGGTTCGGCTATTCAGCGCGGAGTTGGAGTGGAGTAAGAACAGAGCTAATGGAGTTACCCCAATACGGTAAAAAGCAATACCCAAACGGCTGGAGTGCGAATGGAGTCACTCGGAGTGCACGGAGTGAGCAAGCCGAACCCACCTGTTGTTCGGTGTTACTTCCACAATAAAATAATAATAAATTATAATTTAGGTTTGTTATATTATATTAGGACATATAATAAGCAAATATAAAAAAATGAAAATTCCAAATCCTCGTGTAGCCTAGACGCCTCTGGTGTGGAGATTTGCATTATGTTGAGGCACCCCAGATGACGTCATAAGGTTATCAGGCAACCTACCTCTTGGCCTAGACCAAATCCCACCATTCTCAATTCCAAATTCCAACGTACTAGATAAAGATAGACATCTCATTGGAGGAAAAAAGAATATGCGCTCTTACTGATAAGCGCTAAGCGCAGCCAGCAGCAAGGTTTGGTTTGGTTCCAAAATTATGTTACGTTCCAAAATTCAATTCCGGCCGGCCGGAGTAAGTTGGAGCTCGGAGCAGTAAGAAAAAATTTGTAAAAATGTGCTGTAACATAAAATGTAGTACTGACGTACTGAAGAGGGTTAAAATGTATTGATTTCAGTACTTTTGTACTGACGCTGGTAAAGCTGCTCAATTGTACTTAACTGTACCTTAAGGGCGAATTCTCAAAAATGGCATTTCTGGCGTAATCATGTGATCATATGGTGTAATTTGATTGGTAAGATGTCCAGCAAGACAAATATTTTACCAATAAAACCCAACCATGTTATCACGTGAATATGTCAAATATGTCAACTTACGCCCATGAGAAAACGGCCTAAGGTGACATTGAAATACCAGACTTATTCTCCGTGCACTCCGAGTGACTTCATTCGCACTCCAGCTGTTCGGGTATTGTTTTTTACCGTATTAGGGGTGACTCCATTAGCTCTGTTCACTACTCCAACTCTGTGCTAAATAGCCAAACCCAGCTAAATATTTTTGAATTTCATCAATAGTTCTCCACTTCTTTTAAGATTTTTACTGAAGTTCCCCATCATCATTATTATCGACATCATTGTTATCTTTTTCTGTTTGTCTCTGTTGCCCCTATTCATATAACAAAGGCAACACAATTGTTGCTCATGAGAACGCTTCGTTCCTTGGTTTTGAGTATAATAAGAACCCTGGACTTTGTTCCGAATAGCCAACTATATCTTCATCTCTATTGATTTCGATATGAGAGATGGAGACAGCTAGTGTCGTGGCAAGGGGAATAACGATCTCTTTCAGTTATAGATTCCCCGGCCTGAGACTCTCTAACAAATAGAGATATTTGACGTTCTCTCTCTATTGATTTTGGAAAGACAGAAGAAAAGAGCAAGTGCCATAGCGATGGGTATTATGATTTCTATGCATTACATAGTCCTATTCTGATGTGCAATAAGTACATATTCAATTTTTGAAGATAAAGTCCAGCAAAGAAAATGTTTCTAAAGGAAATGGAAAGCAGCTGGAGCATTTTTCAAACCAAAAGGGAATCAAGAATAAGGGCTTTTGGTCAAATATAGTAGATTTTTTTTTCCGGGCTATAATTAGTATTCGTAACGTTTCGTCTACTGCTGCGGTAAACAAACATATTCAGAGGTGGTGTGATAGAGGACGAAGCGTTCTCTTCCGTGTTCCTTCTGGATTCGACGTTGTGGGAACTGCATTATTAATATCCAATTTGTAGCTCTTAATAAGGACTTTCAGATGGTATTTAGCTGAAATCGCTAGTATTAATAGTTTTCGAGAAAATCGAGTTTGAAGTTTCTGACAAAATGTTAACCCAATGTTAACTTTGAGATTCAATATCTCGGAAACTATACAAACTATTTGAACCAATTTTATATGGGCTTATAGAGAATTCAATACTCTTTCCACTGATGTATAATAATAGGTAATTATCTCAAGTTTCATTGGAGATATGAGTAATTATTCATGAGCATGTCAAGAATTTTAAAAAATTTTAGAGCCAAAAATGAGATTTCCCTTTGGATTTTTTTTTCTCGTCGAAATTTTCAAATGTGACTGATGTGAGAGTTGTTTCTAGGTAGTTTGAGTTGCGAAATTGCAAAATTGCGAAAAACTCAAAAATAAAAATTTTCGTATTTTTTCCTTGGATTTTCATTCCCAAATCTTCAAACCTCGATATCTCGGTAACCGATATTGGGATAAAATTTTCAGGGTTTGTAGCTCTTGATAAGGGCTATCAGATGGTATTCAGCTGAAATCGCTAGCATTTACCTACAGTTTTTGAGAAAATTGACTTAGAAGTTTTGGACAAAATTTTGACCAAAGTCCAACTTTGAAGGTTTGTAGCTCAGGAAGCCCTTGAGCAACTGGAACCAATCTAGCACAGTTTTCAAGAGAATTTAATGCTCTTTCTAACAATGTATAATTGTAGTCAATTTGCTAAAATTCCATAAAAGATATGGGCGTGTCAAGATTTTTTTATTCCAAAATTCATTCATTGTAGAATGTTCCAATTTCTTGTAATATGTTTTGTATGTCTTTGTCTTTTCAAACCAATCAAACTCTACCTATCATGCACAGCAACTTTGCATTCTCTTATTTCTTTGTTGTTCTTCCTTCAGACTTGCATAAATTGAACTCTATTGGATGAGGTACAAAATTCCATTAAACTGCAATCCTTGAACAGAACCCTTTGTCCTTGGATCACCAATCAAAAAACCAATGTTTACATACACAACGGGTTTTTTTACCCCCTCAATGTTGATTTTGATGGCAACAAGATCGCATTCCTCATATATCAATTAATTTTTAAGCAATATCTTATCTGAATACAAACATTTAGCCCTTCAACTATAAATATAGCCCGGGCCCGCAAGTTATTTTCAACGTTAAAAATAGGCTATCGGTTGCCGTTCATGTGTAAATAGAACGGGCCGGTTGCATAAAATGCAAAAATAATATAAGTCAGTGAACCTGATCTCTGATGTGTGTGATGATGTGTAATGTCCCCCTATGTTTCATTCAATAGAACCAAAGCCTATACATGTTATGTGGGTACCGGATATGGCATCCTGTTTGGCTTGGCTGATATATTCAAAGTAGTTGACATTTTTTTTTGAAGAGTAAAATATTCCAAACGGAGTATTAATTAATTTAGACAACGAAATAATTAAAATCCAATTGGTATAATAATTGGAATTATCCAACAATGACCCTGAGCTACTGGTATGATGTTGCTGAAACAAGGTTGCTTTAATAAATAACATGCAATTTTCATAAACGAAGGATTTTCTTGTTTTTATTAAATGCACTTTATTGTATGATCAAAATTTAGGTTCTTTTAACATTCAACAAAATCACAAAATGTTTCAAGGTAAATTGCGCATTCATCAAATTCATAGAGGTGTGACGTTGAAACTTCCGGTTGGTTGTATAACACATTTTCGATAGTAATTAGTACAAACAACACAGAAAATTTAATTTTATTTAAGTCGTCAGGAGGCTAAATAAGTAGAAAGGAAACGGACCATTAAACAGTACCATATTTAACGCAGGCCGGCGTTTTAATAGAAACAACAGGATGT